AGAAATATTTTTACTGGAAAGAACCCCGAAAAAATGTTTAACATTAATTTTTCTTTATTAGAAAAACAGCTTTTTATTACTAGATATTTTTTATTTACTTAATATAAATATATATTTTTTTTTTACTTTTTCATATAATATAAAAAAAATAATTTGCATTAAAAATATTTTCAAAAAAAAAATATTTTCACTTTTGCGTGTAAACTGAAACGTAGTGCATGGCACGAACTAACTCAACTGAAAACTGTTTTCATTTACGGTTTGTTCTTATCTGTTCTTTCTTCCTTTCGAGTTTACAGTTACAGTTTTGTTGTTCTTTCATATTCTTTGGATCCTACAATGTTTTGTTTATTGTTGTTGCAGTGTTGGAGTGTTGGAGTGTCGGCATTTGACTTTGACCGAAAATCGACAAATGCACACATTTCCCCAACGTCAATATTGTTGAGACATGCGCGTTAAACTCTGTTATGTTTTCTCAAGGATGTTGTCCCTCAAAATCGTCGTTGTCATTATTATCCCTATTGTTATATTAACGAACTGATAATCATACTGAGTTTTCCTGTACTGAGTTTTTTGTGTTAAATGATAGCTTTCATCGTTTTTAGAAAACCAAAAGTGAGTTCTCCCACAGTTTGCGTCAGCAGTCAGTAGCAAAGAGGCAGAAAACTTCGATTTTTTTTTAAATTTTATTTCGTTCCCGTATTGTTTATTCTTTTGTGGCACTACTAAGGGCAAATGCTGTCTGTGAAAAAAAAACTTCATTGGCAGACAACATATTTGTAATTTTGTATGTTTACAGTCGTTGTTCACACACGAAAAAAACAAGAAATTAAGTTAGGATTTAAAATATCAGAAATGTGCATTTGCGCTTATTGCCCGTATTGCTACCGTTTTCATACAAGTACTTTGAAGTAGAAATATGACATCCCCTATAGCCCTCCTATAACCGGAAATGTGTAACACTATTCGTATTGTTCTTATATTAAATTTAATTTTGTTTATAAAAGTACTACGATTAGCAAATCTGTTTTACTACCCTATATTTGTATAGGATAGCCCCATAGCTCAGACTGATTGGGATAATACAATTGCCTGCAGACAAGTTAAAGAGTCCCTGCCGTATCGATCAAAAGCCAGAACTAGGGAGCTACTAATGCTGAACAGAAGTGGTATCCGATGAGTATCTGTGTCACTATGAAAGTTTCGCCAGACTAAAACTTCAGTACTTATCAACTGCCTATCCACTAATAACGGAATTAGGCAACAGATCTCCAAAGGACATAATGGCATTCTTAACTGCTACTCGCATATGGAACTAAAGTAGGTGTGTCAAAATAATCCTTAAAGAATGCAGTGACGTGGTGATAAGTTCCTAACCCTTTCATAATCTAATCTAATCTAATCTAATCTATCTAATCTGATCTAATAGGATAGCCCTATAAAATCTTATTCAATCCAGTTGCCCTCCGAAACTCAAAAATAACGGTGGATAGCTAATATTCTTTGCCTGTTATTGAATATGGTTCATTTATTTTTGTCTTTTTTGCATCTAAAACTGTTAAAGAATCTACGGCAAAACTTTAAGAACCTCTAACCATAATTATAGTTTGGATTAAGTAATGGTGTCTAAAATAAATAAAAAATCGGCTTGAATATATCTCATCCAAATACCGCAAAAAATATTGTCCTGACACTAGACATAATATTATATAAAAAGAAACACATCAAAATTAAAAGAAAATAACTAAATTTGAGGTAGCAATATATGTATATGTTGACTTATGAGTTAATTTTTATTCGTACCTCATATAAGCAGCGTGCCTATAAATAAATTCTTAAACTCGAATGGTACTACGATGCTTTACTCTGGAATACATTAGACAGATTTTTGAAAATGTAATACAACTATTTCGAAGTAAAGTACTTAGACTCTTTAAGTACATAGGGGTACTTAAAGAATCTAAGTACTTTAGAATCACTGACATATCCAGAAACCATAAAATTCAATTAGTTGAATTTTCTGAATTTCTGGAGCGGTGATGCTCCACTCTAGAGTTGCACATGTGAAACTAATAAAAATGTAATACAAGAATTTCGAAAAAAAGTAGTTGGAGCTGTTAGGTACTTTAGGAGCATTGAATTAGCCAGGGACCGCAAAACTCCATCAGTCAAAGTTTCTGTTCTTTCGGTTTTTTAACAAAACATTTCAGTTTCGTCTTTTATTCAATTATCACTTCTCTTAATTCGTACATCAACTGATACGGTTACTTGCTAAATATTATAGTGTATGTTTCAGACTTTTCACTTACAGACCCATATGTAAACGCTTTAGATTTCACATCCATTTAGTATTCATACAAAAAAGCTTATTAGAGTTTTAAAAACAACAAACTTCACTTTCCTTGACATGATATTATAGATATGCATGATCGATCCATATTGACTTCAATAACTTAAACGTCTACGTCTATAACGTCTGTCTCGTTTTATTTGTTATATAGCACTCCTAAGTATTGAAAACTATGTACAGACGTTTCCGAACAACAAATCTTTTATGTGGTTTAGATTAATTATTATAAAGACAAAAAGACATTATTGAAAGTACAAAAGAATAGCTGTGTTGTGTGTTAATATAAAAATTTATCTAGAAATAAAATATTATGACACGTTCATATATCGCTATAAGCAGTGTGTCTCTTAAATGAATTTCTCAAACAATCATCATTTCAATCCGTTAAAATGAGAAAAACTGATTCTACATGAAAAACATCGATCATTACAATTATCTTTTTCATCAATCTTAAATCTTAAATTTAACTGATTATTTTATATAGATTTGAGTTCTGGATGTTAAAAGTTGCAGATCAGAATAAACTAGAAAGCTTCGCTATGTGGATCTGCAGGATTATCTTAAAAATATCATGGATAGTCCACTTCTCCAATGGACTAAACATATTCAAGGAATTGTTAATGCAATAAAACTATAGAATATAACGTTGAAGATAGACGCGGCTTGGGTAGAAAACCGTTGCCATGATTCAGGAATATTCAATTCAGGACTTGAAAAATCATAACAGGAAAATTACTCCATTTTAAGAAATTGCAGATTTGTTGGAGTGAAAATATACATAGAATCGAATACCAACCTATTAAAAAAAGATTAAGTTTTTAAAAATAATCAAGCTGAACTTCAGAGCTTTTTATACTATTAGGACTTCGCACATTACAAATTATTTATATTGCAATAGACATGAAGTTTAAACATCAGATAATATCTGAAATATTAAAACAGTTTATGGACAAAACAAGAAACAAGTGGAGTAGAGTAGCGTATATTTCAGAACCAGTTGACCGAATAAATAAATTCGGAGCAGAAATTATTTGTTATTATCCGTGTAGTTGAACAACTTAAAAAACAACTTAAGAAGTTCAAGAGACAGACTTGTTTTGTTGCTCGATTTACAAAATAAATAAAATAAGAATTTTATGTACATTTATAGATACAGATTCATACATATGTTTCTCTTTAAAAGTAATGAATGCTAAGATTCAAACAAGAAATGCACATTTGATGCAATTAAGGATTAATGCTTGAACAAGACCAAATATATGTGTTATTTTCAAATTTTGATAGTTAAAATTAAAATTAACTTTAACTATTATAAACTAATTTAAACATATATTAAACATAAAAAAATTATATTAGATAGTGTTTTATTTAAGTTCAATTCGTTTATTTTCTTCATCAAAATTATATTCTTAAATATATTTTTTCATTTACTATTTAAATTGAATACTACTCTACTTCTTAATAATTTATTTTTGTCTTATAATCATTAGTTTACCATGACATTCTGAGTAAAATATTAACAAAATTAAATAAATTAAAAAACGCGCGTAAAAAATTTTACCACAATTTTTGAAAATAAATTGGTTGGACTGTACTGTGTTACCATACGAAATATGATCTCTATCTGTTGTACAGTGTGTTTATATCGGTTGGTTTTACAATTATAATTTTGGGTATTGTATGATGCCCCAAAATTATTATTTTGCAAAAATTTTTAGCAATAAAGAACTAATCAAAAACTGATATTTGATTCAACATCGTAAGTACCTGACATAGCCGAAGGTAAAATTTGCACTACGAAGAATGTTTTTCGAGTCCATACAAAAGATAAAACTAGCTGTCGGAGTTGAAGATGATACGTCAATCAGTCTACATAAAATATATGGAGGATTGAACCAATCGCTGGCATAATTTTATTGCACTTAATGGAGCCCACTTTGAAGACACTAAAACAAATGTCGTTTGATTGATGTTTTTCTAAGTTTTATTTGATTGTATCAGATACTTTTAATATAAAATATATATCTCTTCCACTTAAATAATATTCTAATGTATTGGACTTTAATATATTTTAACTAAATATTTTTGAAGTAAATATGTTTTTGTAAGTGTTGTTCAAATATTGTTATTACTTATTTGTTATTTAAATTTTTATTTTAAAGTAAGAAATAATATCTTAAGCATATTTAATTATTAAATTATTATTAAAGTTGCTTTTAAAATAATATTCATTGCTTCATCTTTAAATATTTTGAATATTTCAATATTTTTTTTAAATTAATTATTTATTAATATTATATATTAAAAAAATAAATATAAATAACTAAATTCATTCATGAACATATGAACATAGCTTTTTACAATTGAACACAGCTCCGAAAGATCATGATAAAATGCAGCATTGCCAGAAGTAGGAAATTTTGGAAATATAAATTTTTGCCAAATTTAGTTATATAGCAATATAAAATAACCGATTATTTCAGTATTTAAGAAAATTACCAATAAAAGCGCTTATCAAAATTAATATAAGATGATATTTTATTTACAAATACACCTCATTAATGCTTCCTTTGAAGCGACTTTCATCTAGATACCTCGACAATGACTTTTTTTTAAGTACGCCCCTGTATTGATAGTATACAAAAGTAGTTAGATAATAGCAGCGAATTTTCAAAGTGAATTTGCACATTCATTTTATTAAAATTTTGTGTATATATTTTTTCCTTGTTCTGATCTACTTTATAAAAATATTTCAAATATTTTAGAGCCCACCATGGCATTAAGATATGTAACACAATCCCTCAGCAAAACAATATTCAAACGATCCATTGACTCCACTGCAGCTTTGCAGCTGCGGGCATTAAGTCATTATCCGATAAATGACAGACTTTATGGACTAAGTGAGGAACAACTAAAATTGCGAGAAACAGCATTTAACTTCTTTCAGAAAGAATTAGCCCCATTTGCAAAGGAAATCGATAAAAATGATAATTTCAAGTGAGTTCAGCACTGATCAATAGTCTATTTTAATGTTTTATGTGATTGGCATTGTTTGCAGGGATTTACGTTCATTTTGGAAGAAAATGGGAGATCTTGGTTTTCTGGGAATAACAGCTGAACCTGAGTATGGTGGTACTGGTGGTGGCTTTTTAGATCATTGTATTATAATGGAAGAAATTTCAAGGTAACCACTAAAAATTGTAACAAAAGTTGGATTTGTTAAAATTATTTATGAAATCTGTTTTGATCAGAGCTGCTGGAGGAATTGCTTTATCTTATGGTGCACATTCTAATCTGTGTATAAATCAGTTGAAGAAAAATGGTACAACTGAACAAAAGGAAAAGTATTTGCCAAAGTTGTGTAGTGGAGAGCATATTGGAGGATTAGCAATGTCTGAACCTAACTCTGGTTCTGATGTGGTATCTATGAAATTGCGTGCAGAGCGTAAAGGTGACTACTACGTTATCAATGGTACAAAATTTTGGATAACTAATGGGTCTGATGCTGATACGCTGATAGTGTATGCTAAAACTGGTAATGGTGTTGCTGATAAACATGCTATTACCGCTTTTATTATAGAAACTGCTTGGGAGGGATTTAGTGTTGCACAAAAATTAGATAAACTTGGAATGCGTGGAAGCAGTACTTGCGAATTGGTGTTTCAAGACTTAAAAGTACCAGCTAAAAATGTTCTTGGTGAGTTAAACAAAGGTGTTTATGTTTTGATGTCGGGCTTGGACTTGGAACGTTTGGTGCTAGCTGCGGGTCCGGTTGGTCTTATGCAAGCCGCGTGTGATAATGCGTTTGAGTATGCACATCAACGTAAACAAAAAAATCAATTAATTGGTGAATTCCAATTGATACAGGGCAAAATGGCTGATATGTACACAACATTGAGTGCATGCCGTTCGTATTTATATAGTGTCGCAAAGGCTTGTGATGCAGGATATGTTAGTTCTAAAGACTGCGCTGGAACCATTTTGTACTGCGCAGAAAAGGCTACCCAAGTGGCACTTGACTCCATACAAATTTTAGGGGGTAATGGTTATATAAATGATTATCCCACCGGACGTATAATGCGCGATGCTAAGTTATATGAAATTGGTGCTGGAACTTCAGAAATTCGGCGTTGGTTGATTGGTCGTCAACTTAACAAGGAGTATCAATAAAGAATATATAGAATATTTTAATATTTGACATGAAAAGATTTTCTCGATATATGTTTTATAAATTGACTCTAGAAAAAATAGTAAAAAAATGTACATAGAAAAGATGTCCTCTGTATATGTTATATACATATTTGTATATATATTTTGAAATTTGTATAACTGATTAATTAACCTTGTGGAATTTATCAAGACGATAGACTTATTGTTGCATTTATTTTATCGTATATGTGTAATATGTAATATTGCTTATTATGCTTGCATTTTAAATAATTTTATGTTTTTGTTGACAATTAAATTTAATATTGTATATATAAAAAATAAAAAACTTTATTGATGCCACTTTATCAATCATTTTATATAAGAGTTCTAATCATTTCGGTTACAGTGATTACAATTTTTGCTAACAGTTTAAATAATTTCATTTTGGTTATTGTTTTGCTTTTATATTGTTTTATATTGTTAAAATGTAATCATTTTTCTTGTATCCTTAGGTAAAAGTTATGATTATAAAATCAGTAACTATTAGCATTGAGCTTTAAGAAAGCTGTTAACACATTATACGTTAATCCTATACATTTAATCTCAGTAAACGCATAGAAATAGTCATGTAAATCTCATGACTATTCTAAATTATTTACCGTTCAAATAAATTGAAACATCCATCTTCAACTTAACTAAAAGAGCAGGCACCCACATAGAGTAATTATCTGCTTGAAAAGAATTACTAAGGGTCTAGTGTATATAGGAAAATTAAAAAGGTCTTGAATATCAAAATAGTATAGGTGCGAAGTATAGGGGCTCACATTTGCTTTCAAATGTTGTGTTCTGACAAGTGACTTCAAAACGTATACTCACTCTTTTCTCAAACCCTTCGCAGATCTAAATATTCGTATAATGAATTCATCAATAATTACCGGTGCGAGGAAAATTTACAAAAGGGGCTTTCAGCCTCATACACTCATGTAATATCCTTTTCGACACCGCACATTAATAACAAATCAATAACAATTCTATCGCATTTTAGTTTAGAATTTGTGTAGCATGTATAGACAATTCTGTCTCTACAAGTATCTCAATGCTGATCCAGCACTCTAAGTTGTCATTTTACGCGTAAAAGTAATTGTCCTTCTATGTATTTTTGACACTAAGATCTGTGGCTCGATATCACTGAGGTGTTATGGTGCCATTATTTTGAATTATATGTATTTTGTGTATTGACAAAAAATAATAGTATTATACATAATTTTCTCCACAAGAAGTTTTTCGAAAAATAGTGAACTAAAACAACAAAAATTTTTTTTTTATTATTTTAATTAATTTTTGATTGAACACACAGCTGTATTGTCAAATACCCATTATCAGTGGTTATTATCATTACCCATTATTTAATTATTCGTAGATAATTTTTTGAGACTGCAAGTACCACGAATTGAACTCGGGTCCTGCAAAATTTGAGGCTCGGAATCAGAGTTCATTAGCCAACTGACTCAAAGTCGTACTTGATTTTTATGTTCGCACATTTTTCTAAAGTTTTGTTAATTTGTTGTGTTATGAAAGTTTATTAACAAATAATTTTTTTCTATATAACATATCCTAACTATATTCATGTGGAGCCTTAAATATTAATAGCAAAATAGCATAACCTACTAGTGTAATAAAAATTTCTTCTCTCGTGCTACACAGATATACATACAAATAGCTCCATAATTAGTAAAAAGGCTTTTTCCTTCACGCTAACACCTTGCGCAACAGATATATAAATAGTGAAGAGGATATTACACTCCAATCCCAGGAAGTGTTTTGTTTCAGACCACTGTGCAGTAAGTACGATACGCTAGTAGCTGAGGTCTGCATATAATCATGTTTTAAACAATTACCTCTGTTTCCATAACGGTCCTCATCTGTATTCATATATTTTGTCCATCGGGATGGCAAAATTTCTTAACCGGAAATCAGGAAAACATTTCGACCTACACATCTTCTTATTCCTACATCACACTCTCCCAACTCATTGTGCAAGTTTTGGTATCCTCAAAAATGCTGCCTTTTAAGGTCGGTGTTGTTTATAACAACAATATTCATAGCATATATTTTATTTATTTATATTTTTATTTATTTATAAGTTTCCTGTTTTTAGAAGACACGTTAAGGAATTCAAAAAAAAATATTTTCTTAATTATTACAATTACACATAAATAACTTTTATTAAAATAAAAAATAAAATATTTTTTTTATTAATTTTTAAGTAGTACATAATATTCATATTGCAAATATTTATAAAATTATATACAAATTAAATATTCATTAATTTAATGCTCTGCAAAGGTATGCAGATATTAGTTTAGAATACATGCAAATTACATAAACATTATTTTAATTGAATAATTTAATAATTACTAATTGAAATGATAGTAAACAAATATTTATAAAAAAATATACATAAAACTACTAACAAAACAATTACAATTATTAATCATAAATACACAAAATATTTGGTTAAAACGCTGATTACGATTTAAAAATTTTAACAAAATTAATCAATTGTATTTTAAATTATATTAATTATTAATAAATTTTATATAAAGCATTACTTGCATAAATTATACAAGATCAGGCGTATACCTTAAAGTATTAAATTTAATTTTTAAATATTAGTAATTGGCAAATAGTTGGCAAACATGAAAACGTATGCTCAGCTCACTTAAACACAAGTTCGTTTAGAACGGACAACTTTTTTCGTTTATCCAAAAGATTACAGCAAGATTACAGGAAGAATACCGACATAAAAGTCAAAAGTCAAAAGTCAAATCATTGAGGCACAATACAAATACTTTTCAATTACAATTATTGTAAATTTGTCAAAAAAGAATTCTTAATTATTAATTATAATTTTTAAAACTTGTATATATGAGGATTTAATTTTGATTATCGTTTTATATGTATATATGACAGCATTTTGGCAATGTTATATTGGCGGTTGTTTTAGTTAATAAAGCACAGAAAGCAGCAAGTCTTATTATGCTGACATCCTTAATAAATTTTATATATATTTAAACTGTTAAAATGCTTTGTTATTCCATACGAAAACTATGCGATTCAGTTTTCTTTTCCGAGCGTGTTTCTGACGTAGTAGTAAATGTTTTACGCTCCATTACGCGTTGTGTCATTGACGATAAACGCTCGGAGCCTTGATCGATAATGCTGACTTTTCCGCCGTCGGTAGTAAGTGACATTTGAGAAAAGCTTGAATCTAAAGGCGTCACTCCAAGGTCGCTGGATTTATCATAGTTCCTTGTTTCATATCTGAAAATTAATTTTAATTAAAGATTTTACAAACAAAAAAACAAAAAAACAAAAAATAAATTTAAATATTTACCTTGATGTATAACCTTCGTAGTTCTGACCAGGGTACGTATTTGTGCTGGTAAGTTGTACAACACCACCTTGGCCAAAGGTTTTGTCATGCAGATCCTGTACACAAGCTTCCAAATTACGATTTACACCACCTTTTTGTAATTGCTGTGAATTTGTTGTTGATGTTGCAGTTTCAAAAGTTTCATGATAATTATTAGAGGGTGTTAATGGACTTGTTGGATTTGGCAATCTATTACCATTAGTGCCAATTACATAACCTTTTGTGTTAGCTACCGGACTACCTGGATATGGGCGTGGCACTGCATTGGCTGTTAGTTTTGGATTAGTTCTAAATGTACTATTGGAAATGGCTGATTGCATATTAGATATGGTTGTTGATAGGGGCGGAGGTGGTGGCGGAAATTCGCTGCTGCCATTAGTGGCAGCAAATTGATGATTTTGTGGTGGTGGCGACACAGCGCTCGGATGGTGAAAATGTTGTGGATTATTTGCATAGTTATAGTGGTGTTTAGTTTGTTGACTATAATAGCTTGGAGACGCTGGCGACTCTGATTGATTGTAGAGTCCCGAACGATTTAAAGTCTACATAGAAGTTAAATGAAAGTTAGAAAAATTAATAGTTTTAATTAGAAAGCTATTTGTTATTTAAGTTAAATGTTAAATGTTAAAATTATTTTAATATCTACAGCCAATGCTGCAATTTTTTATAATATGTCGAAACATCTCGGCAGAACCATTTGTGAGAATTTTTTAATTTTCAACTTTGAATAAAATAAATTTATTCAAATAACGATTTGCGTTACGTTTCGAAAAATATTAGATTGCGTTGACTTCATATAAGGACGAGTACATTTATTTATTTATTAGTGTAACTACACTATATACCATATGATTATTTAAAAGACTCTTAATATACTTTTAGTAAACATACTATTTGTTAATTTTTAAATATATAATTATTATATAATAGTAGCTTATATGAAACCGTCGTACTAAGATCTGTTAGCTATTTTATAGACCTAAATTTTACAGAATTTTGTTTGCCAATTAAAGTAATTTTATAGTATTAATTTTGAATTTTTTTTTTTCGTAATCGTAAAAATTGCTTTTAGTTCAATTTCTTATCTATAAAAAAATAAAAATTTATTTAATAGATAATAAATTTCTTACATTGTTTTGACTTTTATTCAGCGTGCCATAAGCAGAATGAGCATATTCTGAATCGCTTTCATCGGTAGTAAAACCTTGTACATTTTTCTGTCTGGAACGAGCCTGACGTATATGTATCAATTTCTGGCGTGCTTCCTCTAATTGTTTTTCCATACGCAAAACATCTGAACGTGCATTTATCTCTTGTGCCATACCATCAACCATAGAAGTGTTAATTTTAAGTGTATGCTCTTCTTCAGCTTCCAGACCCTGTTGTGCAGCTCTTACTAGATTATCTGTTGACTTGATAACAGCATTACCAGCCGCCTGTAAACGTCTTCCAGCTTCAGAGTTAGGATTAGACTTAACTTTACAAGCAATCAAGAGTTGTGCTGTCGATGCAGCGACTTGTTTAGCAGTGGATATCAACATTTCTTCAGTGCCAACTCCGCGTACTAAATTCTGTGCTGCTTCAACTAAACTATGTGTTGCAGCTGCAACAAGACGAGCTGCTGATATTAAACCTTCCGACCATTGTCCGTCATCGGAAGAAGTAAGTGGACGACGTGCTACTTTGCCCTGATCAATTAGCTCACGTTGTGCTGCATTGGCAGCACGCACCAAAGCTGAGGACGCAGCCATTATACCCTTTGCAGCTTCCAAAATCATCTCATCAAATTTCATATTTTCATCCAGTTCAATCTTTAATATTTAAAATAGATTATTTAAAAAAGATAAATTATTTAATACAAAAAAAAAGATGTAGGTTAAAATATTAGAATGCACAGTTGTAGTTGTCTTTTTAGTAGAATTATAACAATCTCAGTAATAATATGTTTGATTCCTGGGTGAACCTTTAAATGCAACAACCAAGAATATCAAACATATCTTACCGGAATTATTAGAGTTAATAAGCATTAGATAAGCACACCATAATTTAAATAAATGTGTATACAAATATATATACATACATATATAATTTTTAATAATTGATTAGTTTGATATAAGAGATTAAACATTTTAGCAGTATCAAGCGTGTTTAGGAGATTTGGATATATTAAACTCAATTTCATAATATTAAGATTTATTAATTTTTTGTTTATGGTAATAATAAATGCAATTACGTTACTTTTAGTATCAAATATTTTATAAATTTTTAATTATATATAAGCAAAATTGTATAGAAAATATACAACATTTATTAAGCACATAACACCAGAATTATGTATTTGTAGACGTATCCATATCCATATTCATATATTCCATTCTAAAAACTTACCTTCACATCCGGTTGACGGCGTGGTCGTAACGATGCTAACTTTTTAGCTGCTGCGTCAATAGATGCCGCTGCACCCAGAAGTTCATTCTCAGCTATAACTGTAGGGTCTTCAGGATCAATCCAATCTGAGCCTTTAAGCAAACGTGCCATTGCTACTAAATCGGTAACACATTTTGCTACACGCCTTGACAAATGCATGCGATCATCAGCTGTGCAATTATGCAATATACCATTAAGCAGTTCGCGATATGATTCGCCAACTGCAGCACCAGCTTCTAGAGTACGTTGTCGAAGCTCTTCCGTCTCTGCACAGTTCCAAGCAACCGAACGACACACAATTAACATTTCTGATATTGCACGTCTACCTATGTTAGCTGCAGCAACTATATCCGCCTGTAAATTAGATGCACCAGCAGCTACAGCACGTGCTGTCGCTAATGTGACATTCTTTGTGACACGTATTATATCCTCAGGTGTGACTTGTGCGCTACCAGGTGGTGGGGGTGAATGCATTGCCTGTAAATAAACACATAATTAATCAAAATATTATTTAACGTGAGACACCAAGAAACTCACTCGTATTTCTTGTGATATAGCTTCGACGGTAGCTTCCATTGCACGTGTACCTCTTGTGTGTTCGTCCTCCACTGCTTTTACTGTTTTCAGTAAAGAAGAAACGTTAAGCACCATAACCTGAGTTTTTTTAAGAAAAATTAAAAAAGAAATTATTTTATATTTAATAATATTTTTAAGGTAATTTTATTAATTATAGTGTAGTATACCAGAATAGGAAATATGTAACTACAGTTATTACAAAAAAAAAAAATTCTAATATTGTAGTGAGAGACAATGACGCGTCGTTAAGTTAATAAAATATACTGTGTAGTAAGTAATTCATTCAAATATGTCGACAAATATAGATGTTCGTTCATATGTTATTATGGAATTGAAATCAATTAACAAAAACTTTCGTTGACATAATTGAAATATTACTCTAACACAATATTAATTCTAAGAGTTAAAATTAAAAGGATATTTTTTCTTTTTATAAGATTTATTTAGCTCTAATTAAAATATAAATTGCAAATCGTGACTATGTTTTTAAATACGTATTACATACATACATATACCTGGCTATGGCACTGTGGACTGTATTTATTTAAAAATGTATAGTATATAGAGATATGATATTATATTCATTATTGAACTATTGTAATGGTCAATCAATATAAAATAAAATTAATTTACTTTAAAACATTTAAATATAAATTAATTTTTGGCTTTATTAACAACATATATTTAAATATAAAATTGAATTTGTAGATGTTAATTTTTAATTCTTCCATGTTTTTATTGAAATATAGACGATTTTAGATTTTAATAAATGATTGAAATTCAGTGTGATTTCTGGAAAGAGAAGTGCAATTAAAGAATTTGGATCAAAGAGAAAGCATGATTAGAGGTTCGGAACTATGTAGAATTTATTTGAAAAAGTTGTAAATTATTTTGGGAACCAGTTATAGTTTTGATATGGAATATGAATTACATAGTTTTATTACGTAATCTTGAAGAGAGCAATGTTTCTACAGCTAAAAGAGAATTAAAGATACAAGAATAGAATCTGTTATTCAATTTCAATACATTTTACTATACGACTTTTATAAATCTGTTATAAATGCGATATGATATGTAATAAAAAAAATATTATTTTAGAATTTTTTTTAAATTCGTTCTAACAATATCTAATTTCTGCTTCAACAGAAAATGATTTGAGGTTTGGAATTGTATGAAACATACTTATTGAAATATACATATATTGAAATATTTATCAATCTTGATTAGTGCGGATACCGATTGATGGCCAACTATGTAAGTATTTTTAATTATAAAAATAAGGATTGTTTGAAGTACAATATTAATAATATCTACAAACCATATGAGAATTATAATTTTATAAGTTATTAGCAGCATAGTATTCTAATTGATGTAAATTCTGATACATATTTGGCTTTATTAAATAATTAAAACATAAAATAATTCGAATAGTAATAGCGCTTGGTAGCCCTAAAGTTATTATAGTTTGAATAAATAAATATACAGAAATACAGAAAAACAGAAACTAAAAATCAGACATCTACAAATTCTTACAAAATTTTTACTAGGAATAATTTCACAAAATTCTAAATGTGCATCTTGGGTTTATGTTCGTCTTACATTGATATTGATATTGATATTGAACGTGTTACATATAGGAGGGATGGACATACATTTTTTTTTTTGTATTTATAAATTTATATAATTAAAATAAGCAATATTTAATTCATAAAAATTATGTGCACTGGTATGTATTTAATATTTTTTGCTTCATTCATAAAAGGCATTAATTCGATATCATTATTTTTCATATTTTCTGATAAGAAGAATAAAATATTGCAGCAGAGCGAAAGGAGACAGCGGCGGTTCAATAGCCAAATATAGCGCAAAATATGACAGTGATTTTGATTGATTGATTTAATTTATGATAACAGTTTTTAGACTGACTGAGTAAATTTGTGAAATAGTAGTATAGCTTCCATATAATATAAATTCAATAATGCGTTTTGAGTATTAAAATTCATTTTTGAAATGTGATATGTTAAAGTTTGTTCGATGGCATGGTGGTGGGCGCGATGGCATATAGACGATAAACATTTTAGCCGATAGATGGCTAATACAGCCTAACAGTTCAAAATTCCATTGCTATTTGCTCGCAATTCATGTTAGTGTCTGTAGCGGCAGTTTTGCACACATCTTTAAGCATCTATTGGTTGTTCCAGAAAAAAAGAAACAAATATAAAAAGAAGAGTATAAGGACAAACAAAAAACAAATATTTTCCGAAAAGAAATGAAAACATTATTTGTTTAGAACAATCGAATTTGGAAAAAAAATTAAAAACTAAAACAAAATTGAAACATAAACGTGCTTTCCACCCAACGACTTGTCAAATTAAACAGTTAAATTAATTGATTGAATTAATTAATGATATTAATTGATTATATTAATTTTCCAGATTCGACTGCATTTTTATATTACAATTTTTATGGTGCAGTAAAAAAATTGAATTAAAATTAATTGATTTTATAGGAGCAGAGCAGAAGTAGTACAGAAGTTAGAAACTTGTAAGGATGCTTGATTGCGAGTTTAAAGTATACAACATATAAGATATTAGAGAACATATAACATATTAGAGAGTGCTTGCTTTTTAGTAGAACCCATTAAATATTGCACAGTAAAAATGTTATTTAAACATAATAAAAAAAAAAAACAGACCTATGATAGGATAAAATAGACATAGAAAAATAGTAAATAGCCCAGCCAAATGATTAAAGAGATATAATATAAATGCTTCAAGAGTACAAGAGTATACAAAGCTTGTTCATTATGTTCTCATAGTAGCGCCGAACTTAACTGTAGTAGCGTCGCCGTTTGGCACATAAAAAGAAAACTTCAAAATTAGGCCATTATATCCCTTTTAAGGGTGATATGGTGATATGAGACAAGGGATGAAAGTCCAATTTCGACTAAAAACAGATTATCAATTATGTTACAAATATCAAAACAAAGCGAAAGGGCGCAAAATTACAGAATTACAGAAAGTTAGGAAATGTATGTAGCACAACAAACAAAGACGCACATGTAATAAAAATGCAGCTCAAGTATTTATAGTGCACTTCTCTTATTAGTTAAAAAGATTTTAATAAAATATTTATAATATAATAAAGTAGTAGTGTCAAAGCCTGTATATACATATGTATATTTGCAATTATTACAACATTAATAATAATAAAAAATAATAATTATAGAACTAATAAATTTATACATATAAAAGTAAAGCAACGCGTAAGCAATTATTTCAGCTACGAATAAACTATATTAAACTATATTAAAGGTGACAGGTGACATAAAAAGAAAATTATTTTATCTGGCCAAACAAAATAAATATTGTGTAACATTGTGTGGAAGAAAGGTTAAATATGTGACCTAACAAACATAATATTTGCATAATAATAAATTATAAAAGATAATTAAATCAATGGCCCAACCCATTCTGCTTTCAATTAAATTTTGAGAATTGTACTTAAAAAGTAACTAAAACCAGTAAAGTAACGTTAACAGTTTTCTTAAATTATTTTTAAACTTAAAAGCTTTTCAACTTCCATCACCAAAAGTGGAAGTGTGAAACTATCTCTAAATGTGTACTTGTTAAATCTGCTTGTGTTTAAGTGTGAAAATAAATTGAAATAAATAAGCGGCCACAACAACTAAAGCAAAGTTTACAAAGAAATATCTTAAAAGAAATTATTACACATTATTCAATTTCTCTGTGAGTTTGAAATAAAAATACACAATATATAACGTAAAATAGCAATAAGCATAAACTTAGTTCCAACTTACCCTTGCACTTTCTTTTAGATCTTGCATAGATGGATCATGTATCGGTTTACCGGAAGCTAATTTTGTGGCATTTATAAGATCACCCAAAGCTGATGCCACGTCTTTTACAGCATTAATGACCATAACTTGTGAGTCAGGTTGTGCAGAACCTAAAGAACAGGCGCCTCGTTTAACAGCTTCAGCAAGTTGTACTAATTCAAATAAAAAGTATTTTTTTTAAACAACACTCATAAATCTAAATCACGCTAGAACTTACAAATTGTAGACACAGCATTTTGTGCAGCAGATGCTAATTGATCCTGTGTGCCAGCAGCACCAGTTACCAATATTTTAGTATCTTCAACTAACGCTTTTGCAGTTTGCAAAATATGTTCACGATGATCAGCAAAAGTACCATCGCCATCTGAATGTAGAGTACCTGCAGTTGCAAACATTATGGTAGTGTCTAAATCGCCAATAATGCCGGAAACAGTATGTGCTGCATTAATGCAAGCTTGTGTACCACGTGAACCTGCTTGTAGAGCAGCTAAAACTTGTGCAACTTTTTCGGATACTTCGCGTGCATTGCGTGAAATTTCATTTTGTGCTGTCATATCATCTGGTCGTGTGCCAGCGGCGGTTGATTGTATCATCGAACCAACCGAACGTCCTAAATCAATGACAGTATTACGAATCCGCATAGCAACATCTGGTGAAGTTGTTGTTGTCGAAGCACCAACAGAATCTTGGGTGATTTGTGTATATTGTTGTGCCATATCAACTGATAGTTCCGGTAGCTTTTGTGGTTCAATGCTTGATTTAGAATTCATTTCGTTAGCTAAACGGGCTATTTCCTTTGCTCTTTGCACCATACGTGTTTGATAGTCAACAAAGGAATCCGAATAAGAGGCATTCAATAATGATTGACGTTTATCAGTTAGACGTGTAATAGCGCGATTTACTTGTTCCATTAGTCCGGTTACTACACCAGTTTCAGCATTAATTTTTTCAACAGTTTGTGTTAATTCTTGTATAGCCTCACGTGTGTTCTCAATAGCTTCATCTAACCTTGGATGCGCATGCGTAGCGCGTGGATTACCAGCAGAATCTTTGGCAGCTTGTACTAATTGGGTTGCACTTTCAACAACAGATTTCGTTTGATTAATCAAACTCATTTGTTGATTAGAATGTACAATATGTGTACATGCGCCTATAGCACCATTAACCATAGGTACTACATAACGTGAAATTTCTCCCACCGCGTGACCCAATTGCTCGGCATTATTTTTACCTGCCATACGTATAGGTTCCAATTTATCTATTAATTCTGCAGCCGAATTAAGTGTTTGACCACTAAAACCATGCAAGTTATTATCACGACGTTGACTCAATCCCTGAGCATTTACAGCCAGTGCACAGCTATCCAATTCACGTGTACAGGTTCCCAATGTATGAAGAACTTGCTCGCATTGTGCCTGGCCAGGTGCCTTTTCACGTATATTATCGACTAACCTTTTAACAGATTCAGAAACTGGCGTTGAGTGCATTGAAAGTTGTTGCCATACTGGAGGATCATCAGGTGAGAGCGCAAGCGATTTCGCAGCTTTTACCATTTCAACTACACCATCAATTACACCTCGTCCAGCATTTATTACAGGTTCCTGTGCTTTTCGACCTTCAGCAGAAATTTTAGCTGGAACGGATATGAATTCTGGACTGGATGCATATTGGCGTACAGCCTTTACAGCATCTAGCAATGGCTCTACTAAACGTGGTCTTGACGCTGAATTTGGATCATCTTCTATACCTTTGATTTCTTGCACAAGATTTGATGTGGCAGTAGCTACTTGTTTAGCTAGCACGATAAACTCATTCTTAGCCACAGGATTATTGGTGTTCATACTAGCTTGACGACAAATAGAACACAAATAACTTGTGTGTTTAGCTATTACTGTAAGTGCGGCAATTTTTTGAGGTTTTGAGGATTTCGGATTGCTAACTTCTTCGCAATGTGAACGAATACCTTGATATGCCCAAGTCAACTGAGCTTGGTCGATTATACCTGGTCGACCAGCAACACTACTTGGATGCGAGACACCAATTAGATAAGCTGCTTGTGCTGATGATTCAATTAAACCATGTATAGATCCTGAAACATTGTTTACAGACCGCCCAAATTCCTCATGGTTTGATTGTTTAGCGTTATTAATCATTTCAGAAATTGCATATCCTAAATTTCTTGATTTACCAGTAGCTGTCTCAACGCAATCAAAGTAACCTTGATCACTAATAGGTTCATGAGGATAGTCGAGCATAACACGCAGTGATTCAATATTTCGCATGGCATTATCGCACTCTTTTTGCCCCGGAGCAGACTGAATGCTAGCATCTACGAGCTGATTGATGCTTTCAGTTACATTACGTGCCGCAGCATGGAGCTGATTCTTAGCATTTGGTTGACCAGGATCAGCGGCAATAGATTTAGCAGTGGAAAGTAATGAACAAGATTGTCTAGAAACATTACGTAAACAATCTATCATTTGAGAACGTACTACCTCATCCTGTGTTTGTCCAGCCATCTCCATTGACACTGAAAGTAAATCTCTATAGTTCGCAGCAAAGTTTTGACTAGTCTCTGCTAACTGTGCAGGACTCGAATAGGCATGAACTATTTGTCCACCGGCAGTGTTAAGACTCTCAGCAACTTGTTTCAATTCATTTTGCAATATATTGTAATTTCGATGTGATGGTGGAAATTCGCTCATTGACAATATTTCACTTAACTCACTTACATTGCGTAAAGCTGTATCTACTTCGCGTTGTCCGGGAATACAATCTACAGTTTTTGAAAGTGCAGCTGTAACATCTCGACCAGCTTGAGTTAGTTCATTCGTATCTCCAACATTTTGTAATGTACGTTGAGCTTCTTCAATTAATCGCGCTGAGCTCATTACAACTTCATCTGCGCAGTCAATAACAGCAGGATTTTTTGTAGTTGCTGCTACACCATGCACACTTTTTGTAAAATCACCAAGGGCAAGCGCCGTGTCACGTCCAGCTACTCCTGCATACATACGTTGACCTTGCAAAACTGATGACAACATTTGACTCAATGCAATTCCGACATTTTTGGCTGATTTTCGCAATTGTTGTGCAGTATTCTCTACATTCTCACCTGGTAATGGTCGTAATGTTCCAGATTGTGCAGCCTGACGCGTATCGTCAAGTACATTGTGCAAATTACGTACAGCTTCCAGAGCTGATTCCAGCTCTTGGCCACCACACGCTTCACGTGCACGTTGCGCTGCTGAATTAAGATCTGAAACTGTACGGCCCAAATTTAATGCTGTTTTAGAAAGTTGTGTAGCGGCAGGAATATCTGTGACGGTAGGTTGCAAAGCACGTGCTGAACGCGAAACTTGTATAGCGGGCTCAATAAATTGTTCTGCAGCTTCAATTAAATTTAATTGGGCGTTCGGATCATCAGGATTTGAGCGTGTTGTTTTTACAGATGTTACTAAACGAGGTATAGACTCCGCAACTCGTTTGCAATCTTGTAATAAACATTCTTTTGTTTGATGATCATCACTATGTTGTGCTGCATTTTGTGCAGCAGTTATACATTGTGTTGCAGCAGAGGCAGATTGCATTGACCAGTACTCCAAACGATTAATGAGATTACGTTTCATAGCTGGAGTAATAGCTGTTGTTGTTGTGATTTCACGCAATTCTTCTGCTGCGCGTCGCAAAGCATTTTGATTTTCAGAATCATGTGGATTACTGGAGCAAAGCCGAGCGGCTTCAACTAGTTTAGCTGTGGCATCTGCAAGTTGTTTAGCTGCAGACAATAGACGACGCTGCTGATCTGCATCCTGTTGTTGATCTGCTTCACCTTTTATACTCTGAATTAGTTGAGCAGTAGCTTGACCCAAAGTTTTAGCATGACGTACCATTTCTTGTGGATCATTCGAAGAAACCAATATATCGGTACCAATAATAACATTTTCCATCGGATTCATTTCTTGGCTAGTACGATTAGCATATTCTCTTGAACTTAGCTTAACATGATCTAACATATCGGTAAGACTTTTAGATACCTCACGCGCAGCAGCAAGTAAATCATTTTTAAGCTTAGGATCATTTGTGGCGTCATTGCAAACTTCACATAAACTGTTCACAGCACGTGCGACATTACGAGCAGCTCCTTCCAATTGCTCTCGACAAGCAGCGTTATGTAAAGTGGGAGCTACTACCTTGGCACAAGCAACTAATTGGCTTGTAGCCAAGGCACATTGACTCGCTGCGCCAATCACACGATTACGTGACTCTTCATCCTCACAGCTTGCAGCTATAGATTTGGCACGTAGTACTAGAGCAGCAGTTGTATTAGCTACGGCTTTGGCCAAGGCAAGCAACATGTCTTGTAAATCACTATTTTCAGGTACTTCTTCTTCAGCAATGGTACTTAATACATGTGTAGTAGCTTCACCAACACGACTTGCGGCGTTAATTAGATTTTGTGGTGGTTCTTTGCTTTCTGGTTCAGCAGCTTTAAGCAGATCACTAAATGCATTGCACAAATTTCGTGCTGCTTCCAATAATTTATCACCATTATTGCTATCTTCCATCAAAGCGGCTATTAAACGTACTTCCTTGGTTACTTCTGGGATTGTTTGGGCAATTTGTGAAACCGACGCTGTTATGGCTTCCGTATCAACCTCATCTGGTTGCGTAGCTGTTATTATTTGCGCTGTTGCAGCACTCATTGTAGCCACATGACTAGTAACAGCTTGCTTGGATGTGTCCAAAGTATTTTCACGCCATTCTATCGAACGCATATCAGTGCCAAGTTCTTGTATAGGAGCCTACATTAAGAAACATAAAATGTGTTTAGATCGAAATAAAATTTAAACATCAAAAATATCTTTTCATACTTTAGTTCTTAACTCTTCATCTGCACGCATTAATACGTCTTGACCTGCCGATATATATCCCAACAAAGCTCGTTGTGGCTCAGTAAGATTCACATGACTAATACGTACTTCTTTAGACTACATAGAAAATAGAAAATAGAAAAATTTTAATAAAATATTCATAATTATTTACAAAAAATTATTTTTTAATTTTTTTATGTTGATTCAATATATTAAGGTTATTACGAGTACTTTAACACTATTGAACAACATTACTTAATATTTAAATGAACATACTTTGTTAAATTTGACGAATTCGTTTCATAGCAGCATTAAGATAGCATTAAGAGTTTTTAATATATAAAAAAATTTCAATTAGTGGATATATCTTGAAAGTTTTGATCTGATTGTAAATTGTAACTGATACAAGATTATTTACTGTACATGTATTATTTTATTGTTGGCAATAAATATTTGCAACAAAGGATTAAAATGTTTGCGTTTAAAATAAAAATAATTATTTTATTGTGCACTTACCGTTGGCGGCTGATGGGCGTGGTTAACTTGCCCAACAAATGCGCCATATTGAACTGTTTGCAATTCGCCTTGGGTATAGGTTTTTTCACCTTTTTAGTTTGTTGGTGAAGTTAAATGAGAATATAAAAATATACAAAAAAGAATATAAGTGAAATCAAATACAACTTAAAATGTAAAAATAAAAATTTGAAGCTATAAAAGCTAATGTATAAATTATATTAAATTCTAACTTACCATCATTTGCACGCATAACACCCGGATGTGCCAATGATTCAGTGTTGATTTTACCAATTTTATTTGTTTCATGTTGCAAAAATGTAGCTCTATAAGTGATAAAAAAAAAATTAATTTATAATTACAAATAGCAACAAAAATGCTTTAATATACTCACTTCGAAGGCGCAACAGATTCTTCTACCATAGTAGAACCTTCATCTCCCTCTATGCCAAAGTGGTCTTTTGTTTGTTTCTTCTTTAGAATGATATCGATATAGCCAGCAATAAGTTGTACGATTTGTTCAGCTTCTGTTGTTTGCACCGAATAATATTGATTTGCATAATCGCCGAAATCGAGTGTAAAAGTATTGGGCGATGCACCCCAACGACGCACTGTTGTCAAAGGCCATGATACCAAAATTTCCTTTGTTCGTTCATCTAAACGTAACACAGAATCCTTTGTTACACCCAATAGACGTGGCACTAATTTATTTTTGCCATTCATTTTTTCCTTGACCAAAAAGAAGGTCACACCGTACGTGGGTAATTCACGAGCTGTTTTTGTATATAATACTTTGGCGTCGATTTCGGATAATTCCGCATGTTTTTTATGTTCGGCAAAAACTTTTTTTTCTATATTTTTTACACGCACATAAGACTGTGGTAAGAAATCTTTGAGGCTAAAATAAAATAAAAAAAATTAAAAATAAAAAACTGCATATATATTTTAATTTAAAAACGTACTCCAAAAATCCTGGCTTATGTTTAGTTTCATTGTGTGGACCAAATTGTATGTGTACTTGTATGCCAGCAAACTCACACGCTTAAAATATATTTATATAAGATTTTATTTTATATTTTTTGGAAAAAAAATAACTTTAAAAATATAATCTTTGAAAATAAAATATTTGTGGTATAAATATTATTAAAAAAAAAAACTTTTATATTTAAACAGTAATTATAAGTGGTTTACCTTTATCTTGTGTAACTGGATGAGTGCCATCAAGTATCGCATCTCTGGCCTGAACATATAATAAATTTAATTGCACTGGATCACGAGAATCAATGTTTTGATCAGAAAAAAAGAAACGTCGGCGTAAAAGTACCGGTTCGGATTCATCAATACCTTGCTCACGTAAAGTTTTCCCAACATCAACCCAATTGACTAAATGAAATAAAATAAAATGCAGATAAAATTATACATTTAAAATATATTTAAAAATTTATTTTATTATTTTATTAACTCACTTTCATCATCGGTTTTTAATTTTTTGCGCAAACTTTCCATTTTAGCATCACGATCCTTTTCGGTAAACTTTCTACGTAACGTTAATGTACCAAATTTATTATCTGGCAGATTTTCATTTTGTGATTCAGTATCTTCACGTACCATACCATATTCTTCATGGTTGGTAATACCAATTTTTGTACAAATCACAACCATAAGTTGAGATACTGGTTGAGAATCATCCACAAGTATTGTCTTTACAGCACCATCCAACATACGCACTCGTAATGTGCGCAGTTTTCGACGATACTCCAAAGTATCCTGATTGTGGAGTATGTAATAGCCTAGGGTACGGCCAGATTCCAACCAAACACCTTGCTGATTTTGTTCATCCGACATAAAAAGTCCATATTCGCTAGCTAAAATAGAATTATAAATTATTATTTCCATTTCAGTTCAGTAGTTACCAGTAGTTAAGCAAGTTTGACTTACGTTGACCCTGCACAGCATCAGCAAATTTATCTCTGATAATTTTACAAGCATCAAAGACTGTGGTATTCGGATGAAATTGTATGGTTTTTGTTACACGTCCACCCTCGAGACTTATACGCAATGAAAGCGTAGACATTTTTATTTTTGTAACTTTTTTGTTTTAGAAATATAATAGAAAATTTTTTAACAGGCACTGAAAATATTTAGAATTAAAGAAAAAAATTATTAAAAAATTTCTAAAAATATATACATATTATTTAATATTACTAAAGAAATACTTAAATATATTTTTCTAACAACTTGTTGTTTGTTTATTCTGTTATTTTTCAACTTTTTCAACTTTTTCAACAACTTCATTAAAAATTAAATTAAAATTAAAACCAAAATAAAATTAATTTCAATTTTTAAAAATAAAAATTTAATAATTGAAGGTAAAGTGATAATGTGATGGACGTTTGATCACATAACACATATACATACATATATAATTTTGTATTATATATGCACATATAATCACTGTAAGATGGTTTTGCACAGCATCTCAATCAGCAATTGCTTTTCACAATTTAATACAGTATTTTTACAAGTCAAATTCGATATGCATTCAAGGATTAAGAACCACCCTAAAATGTGGAAAAAATAATTTTATAATACTGAGTTTTTCTTCCAACTCAAAATACGTCCTGTTGTCAGCACTCAAGACAATGAAAAGGCTTATAAGCATATAATAAACGAGCATTGATTGAAATACTTTATTCAGTTACTTTACTAGATACCAACCTCGGCAGATGAACCCATAACAATAACCCAAAAGACATAATTTCTTTTGGATTTTTTTTTTTATTTCCTTTGACGTAAATATGCTATTCCTTATGTTGTTGGTTGTTGGTTGTTAGTTATTGGAGAGCCATTGTTTGTCTTGTGAGCTACTCTCTTTGCACTGATAATAATTGTATTCACTCTCAACCACTATACTATACTGCGCGTCTTTTTTACTTTAGACCATTTTTTATTCTATATAAACTAATGATTTAACTGATGACTTGCTTTTTATTTAGTATATCCACATAAAAAATATAAAAGCTAAAATCCCACTCCATATTTATGTTTAAATGCAATTTATTTTCATTTATATCTATTTGTTTAAATAAAAATTAAAAATTAAAAATAATAATAACATTCCATGTGCTATGGAGAAATGTACTCCAAAAACAGTTGAAATGTGTCAAATTCAATGAAGGCGACATGGGGCGGTTATGAATTAAAATCAATATTTCGATAGCACTCAACCGTACAAAATTCAATCTAAACTTCAAAAAAAAAATTATTATATAAATCTATGCCACGTTAAATGTGATAAAAGAAACAGAAATAAATTTTTTCACTTTTAAAATACTAAGATTTCAAATATTTACACATAAATTTTAAAATTTATATTACTTTCTTTCGCTGTGACCATTTTTTAGGTTAGGATGTAAATGAATATAAAGCACTTGTAGTCTATCTACTTTGCAGAGTTCAGAGATTCCATTGAGTTCAAAATCCCAAAGAATACTAAAATTTCAAAAAATCTGTACGGCAAAGATTGCTGGATTATTATGGTCCAAATTTTAGGGGATGCTGCTCTACAAATATTTTTTAGTACCGAATTTTGGGGTGATTTTGTGCACTAGTGCGCACTCTCTCCCAATTATAAAAACTGAAAACGAGGAAAATTAAAATTTTAGCAAAAACCACCCTTCAACAACGAAATAACAAACGAACGGCTAAGATTTCTAACAGAATTCTAAATAATGCTAATTTTTAACAGTGGATATTATATTTAACATTTCAGATGGGGTAAAATGTACTGTTAAAGAAATCTGTTACAACATCTGTAATATCATTTAATATAAATATATTTTTGTAAAACACTTATCCACTTAACTTAAATAATATATAATGAAAATAAGTGAATATAAGCTCAAAAACAGATACGAACTCGTGATATAAAAGAAAAGTTTCTTAATGGATGTAGAAAACTATTTTCTCAAGAATTGAGCACTTGTAGACAGACCAAACTCATGTAGCCGAAACCGTGGGCCAGGGAAGCGATAAAAGTGCTTAGCTATTCTCGGAGCACTCTAAGTGGCTGACCTTATTAATTACTGGACATAGCAACTTCAATAAGCACCTCAAAAAGATAACTCTTGCTGAGGAAGACACTTCCATACTATATCTAGAAGAAAAGGAAACAGCGATGCATATATTGTGCCAATGTCCAGCACTGGCAAGTAGGAGGAAGACTGTCTTGGGACACTATTGGGTTGGTGATGACTTGGCAGGAAACCTCAAGCTAAATGAGCTGCTTGCATTAACAAAAGATGTAGTTATGCGAACGGAAGCCACCCCAGCTTCAACTCAATGACAACATCCGAGAATCGAAAGACGAAAAAGGACCCAAGTAGTTTCGTGGTCTACTTCGACTAATCCTTCAACTCAGGGAGACCACTTGTTGGACAGTGCGCCCACCATATACATATTGCCAAATACCCATTATAACATTATAAGTGGTCTTTAAAACTAATTAACTAGTTAATTTTATTACTTCGTATTTAATTATTGGACTGCAATTTTCAGGCCTGGAACTACGAACCTGCCAAATTAGAAGGAAGTGGCAAAGGCGATCGAAACCGCATCTACGCATAGTTATATAACAGATTATTAACTTTATGAATTTTAATTTTCTTTAATAAAGAGGTTTTTCGAACAGTAATTAATTGAAATTTTGGCTGATCATACAGCTGTTTCGAATATAGGCAAATACCCATCATCAGTGGTTTTTGGAAATAATTCTTATATTTAATCATACGTAAATAATTTTTTGAGACTGCAAGTACCTGGAATTGAACTCGTGCCCTGCAAAATTTAAAGTTCAGAGTCAGCACACCTTAACCAACTGACTCAAAGCCGTACTTGACTTTTATGTGCGCACATTTTTCTGGAGTTTTGTTAATTTGCTGTGAAAGTTTTATTAACAAATTCACTTGCTGTGTTTATAATAGAACGGAATCATAAACCAGTTGTAGAATATTTGAATTAATTAATTATATTTTATATTTTTAATTATTAAATTTCAATACTACTCTGTTTATAGAGGCATTATTTGTTGCATGATTTATATATTCTTTCTTATGTATAGCACCTAATCTAGGAATATAATTCTGAGAAAGTCATGGTAATGTTAATCCACAAGTCGCACGGGCTCGTGTTTTATTTGTTTTGGTTTCAGCTAAAGGTTTTTTTTAAAAATGAATTTTATAATTTGCATCTCGTTGTTCAATTTGGAAAATGGCAAACCATTGCATTAGAAATATTTCACTAAACTTAATTCATCGAAAAAGCAGCTCTTCTTTTTACGGATATTAGGAACAAAAATAGTGGGTGCAAAAGTTATTGAAATGTTTTACTTTGACTGCAAGTAACTTATTCAAAACAGAAACATCCCTTCATTAATAACTTAACCAGAGAAAACCTTTATTGCGTGACCTTATTCCTAAGCAATTGTTATGGTATTTCTATAAGATCTTTTTGAAAAAAAAAATTTATAAACTTTAACTGCATTGACATATTAATCGATTTCATAAAATAAAATAAAAACAATTTTATTTTGTAAAATTATTAAGAAGCTTTTTACATTCACTATATTTATGTCTGTTGTTCATTAAGAATGAAAACATCAAATGCGAATTATTTCATTTAGTAAAAGTGCGAATATTAACTCTAATCAAGAATGGATAAGACAGGTAGCCAATACTATAGCCAATACAATATCAATTAATTAGAAAAATTAATAATTGCATCATAATTACTTTCAGAGCTTGACCCAATTACTTCTCCAATGGGAGATATGGGTCTATCCCAGATACTGTTATGCCTTGCCATATTCTTGTCGAAATTCCCAAGCGGTTGGATACAGGTGTCACATATTTTTCTATGTTTTCCAATGAATCCCAAATGTACTTCTCCGAGCAATGTTACTGATATTTGCGATGACGCATGCGAAAAATATGAATTCGACCGCAGTATATTCGAAGAAAATGTGATATCTGAATTTGACTTAGTATGTAAACGAGCGCCGCTGGCTTCGCTTTCTCAGACAATTACCATGGGTGGAACTATGACTGGAAGTATTCTATTCGGTGTTCTCGCAGATAAGTGAGTTTTATTTCTTATTTGGAAAAGAATGTATTACATTTAATACATTTATAAATGTTATTTTTTCATTTTTTCATAAACAATACATATAGAACGAAAATATAATATTTATATTAGTAACTTTAATGATATACTTGTAGATATGGTCGTCGTCCTGCTTTTCTTACAGGGTGCATGCTATTAATGATATTTAGTGCTTTAGTATCATTCTCACCTTGGTTTTGGGCATACTGTCTGTTCAGATATATAGCTGCTACAGCTAACGGTGGTGTAATGATGACAAGGTTTGAACATAAACATATTAGCTATGAATGTAGTAACTTTTAATGTTTATTTCTTCCCAGTTTTGTAATAATAATGGAAATAATTGGAAAAAGCAAACGTGAAATAGTGGCTATGTTGTATCATATTCCATTTAATATGGGACATGTTGCGTTACCTGCATTAGCTTATTTCTTCCGAAATTGGCGTGTATTCAATATGAGCTATTCTGTCGAGCATTTCCTTTATGTAATATATTGCTGTATCGTCCCAGAGTCACCGCGGTGGCTATTTGCACGTGGAGAAACAGAAAAATCCGCAAATATAATTTCAAAATTTGCGAAAATGAACGGCAAACCAACTGACACAATTAAATCTGATCTCGATTCCGCATATGTCCATCATAAAGGAACCCAAGGAGCAAAAAAAGCGAACATTTTAGATTTATTTAAGACACCAAATATGCGGATGAAGATCCTTGCGATGGGTTTCGAATGGTTCGTTGTATGCATGGCCTATTACGGTATATCACAATACGTAACACATTTAAGCGGTGATGTGTTTTTAAACGTGGCATTTAGTGCATCTCTCGGTGTACCTGGAACACTATTATGCATACCATTGACTAAATATTTGGGACGGAAACCCACTTTAATATTGTCTACTTTGCTAACTGCCATATCATTATTACTTATGTCTCTTTTACCGAAACTTTCTGATAAAATTCAGGTAATATTTGTGATCATTGGTTTTTTTGGTGCAACAGTCACTTTTCCCACAGTTTACATCTATGGAGGTGAATTGTGTCCTACTGTTGTACGAAGTTCTGGCATAGGTTTTTGCTCAATGTTAGGACGTGCGGGTTCAATGTTAGCTCCTTTCGTGGTAGATTTAGCTAAAATTCATATGAGATTACCAGGAATTGTGTTTGGGTGTATGTCATTGTTAGCCACATTAACTTGTGTCCTAATACCAGAGACAAAGAATACTAACTTACCAGAAACTCTTGAAGATGGAGAGAATTTCGGTAAAAAAGGTGCCGTGCAATAATAATTTTGATATAATGAAAGCGCTATCTTTCTTATAACAATTTATCTACTTTATAAATACAATTAGAGTACGTAAATCGAAACACCTTTGTAGAAAAAAAAAATTTGAAACTAAACACTAATTAATATTAGTTTATTATAATAATAAATAAGTTTTAATTATATTCCAAATTTGTTATTCTTTCATAATCTTTTTGTTCTTAAAATGTATAAAACGATTCCAACTAATCATTAAATATGACCTCAGCGACGAATCGACGAATTAATAACGTTACATTTAATGCCCAATCAGAGACTACAAAAATATAATTAACAGCTAAATTGTCAATATATAGTAGTTACTTTGCAATACCAAGTTTCTAGTGCGAGACCTATAAAAACAAAGTTAACTATATAAAATTCAAATTCAAAATTAGTAATAAACAAATCAGCTTCAAATTAAAACTTTTCACTTAAGCAGCTAGAAGCAAGCTGGTGGAAGTATATAGGAAACATCAAAACAAGACCAATTTTGCAAAGTCGCATAAGCACCTTTTAACATATATTTCATCATTAATTGAGCAGGTTTGGAACTGGTCTTTCAAGGATGACAAGAGAAAAATAGCCATTGACAAATATCAACTACAATTTTCAGAGTCAAATATTATTATTACCACAAGTAGTACTTATTATTCATGCTTAGAATATATTGTATATAATAAAATGAAGTTAAAAAAAAAATTTCAGAAAAATTCTTTGTAAAATGTGGTATTTTGTTAAAAATAAAAATTCTAAGTAATTATAAAAGAATTACTAAAGATGATTTTTTATTTAAATGCTGATTAGTAAGAAACTACAAAATAAAATAAATAAATCATACATTGAGAATGGTACATTTGGTATGAATTGTTCTACTGAATTGAATTTACATAAATTACAAAATAAACCCCTTCACTCATACATGCAAGTAACGTACAAATTCGTACAATATACATTAAAAGAAACAAAAGTCAAAGTATCAGCTAAGAGCACCAAAAAACCGTACAAAATGAAGAAGAGCATCAAAGCGAAAGAATATTTAAAAATAATCTTTGTACAAACATTTTTATTTTCATTTAATAATTTTTTTTTTGATTATCAATTAATGAAACGTTGAAAAAATATTGTTTTATTTATTGAAATGGCTTAATGACCTACTAACATTGTTTAGCTAATGAATTTATTGTATTACAAGCAAATTATATATTAATTATTATTGCATAAAGCGAATAACATAATGAATTAATAGAAAATAAAGTAAAAATAAATACAATCAGCCCATTTTCACAAATAAGGTTCACTGTTGCCAACCATTGACATGCACATTTACGGTCCTTTGACGCACAATAACATTGGAGGAACACCGCAGTGAACAGTGAACTGTGTCGAGTATCGAGTATCGTATTTCGAACATTTTGATGGATGTAAAAATGCTCTATTTTGACATTAATAAAACCATTAAAATATTTTTGCGGTTTCATATGCATTTCTAATTAATGTAACCTATACATTTATACATTATACATTACAATATATTAGTAAACACAAAACATATGTATGTATGAATATATGTATATATACATAAACATAGTTTTTGCAGTCTCCTATAACAGAGATATTTATGAGTGTAAAACTTTTTTCTAAGATGGAAAATATTTATGACGTTTACACTATATTGTACAATAATTGAATTCTAGTGACTATATCAAATTTTACAAATAATTAACTGCAATTTAAGTCAATTACTAAATTTATTGCTGAAAAAAATAACCGTAACAAAATCGCGTTAAATTTTTAATGAATTTGAGTTCGCACTAAAGGAAATCACACTGTGCCTCTAATGGTTTCCGGTCATATAAAGTCTATACTCCCTGCACGCTAATTAGTAAATGTACACAAACTTACGGTATTACTTTTACTACATATCGATTCTTTCCTTTTATAAATATATTTCCATTTGAACAAATAATTACCAGTAAATATAATAACAGTAAATATAACAATTATAAAAAATTAATTCTATAAAATTTCTTTTTTATATGAAATAAGCAAAAATTTGTAATTAGTCACTCTGGAAGGAGATTAAAGAAAATACAGTATTATAAATATGAGAGATATGGAGAGATGAGATCCATCGGCTATTCCTGAATTGTCTTCTGTGAAAAAATTCACCTATTGTTTTAAAAAAAAATAATATAAACAAATATTACATAAAAAAATCTTTAAATTGGAAAAATATACAATCGAGAGAACCTAGATATTACAGAACTGCGTAGAAGATAAAATTTAATTGAGTTTTACTATATTATTTACGAATGAAAGCGTAAATATATTGTAACAATAGTAAAATAATAATAATAACAGTAAAACAGTACTGACAGTGAAATTAAGAAACTAAGAAAATTAAGAAATTACTAATATTATAATAAAGAAGAGATAAGTACTCATTTTTAATACAACTTTAATACAATAAATAAAATTGTTGATATATTATTAAAAATATTAAAATAATTTTTTATATACAATAATAATAAGGGTATGATAAGAGGAGTGTTCAAAAGTAAACAAGACTTTTTGAAAGTAGGTATTTATAGAGAGCAACTTCCCGTATTTACCTAAATTTGGACCAAACAACTTTTACTATATCGAAAAGATGCATTTTCTGATGAAAGGAAAACGTTCTATAGATAAGAGCTGCACAGACATTCTGCAAAGCAACTGTGAAAAAAGTTGTGCCTCGTCTGAAGGGAATTACATACTTTGAACAAAATAAGTTAGTTCAAAAAACATTTATTTCTTATTTATAAAAACTCCTGTACCTATACTTTAGAAAACGTTTAATATTATTATAATATAGGGCGTATTATTATAATATCGGGATATCCAGAGAGTTCGTACTATTTAAAATACTCATATCTGGTTATTTAGAGTAACTAATATATTCGAAATATCTAAATATGGACAGCACTACAGCTAAGAATCGATACCTAGGCACGAATAAATACGAACGGATTAATATACTTCGCCGAACAAATCCATCATATATAGTTTTTTATTTACAATTTTTTTGATTTACAATATTAAAAACCATCTTTTTCGCAACAGTATTTTAAATATACCAAAATAGAATTTACAGTAACTTTTCACTCTACATTTGTTTATAATATACTTAATGCGTTAATTAAAGTTTTAGGGCCAGCTAACACGTATTTGAATGTCTGCCATTATCAATTTGAATGAATTGTCCTACTATATTATATTTATATCAATTAAATACGCAGGCAGTAACAGTGCTTAACTTAATTTAATACAAATATACATTTAAATAAACAAATCTTAAAGTGCCAGTTTATAGCACCAAAAATTCACAAAAAAAGAATTGCCCTAACTGCACAAATAATGTGAAAAAAATTGGAAATAATTTCGACTTTATTTTGTAATTTTTAGATTATAGCTAATACATAAAATTATAATGAAACAAACTGATTTAGGGATATCGATAAGTCTGGATTTAAAAACATCTAAACCTTACAATTATTTTTAATAACTTAAAAAAATATTTTAATTTTAACTTTTATAAACGATTTTATAAAAAAAATTGAAATTAATACAAGTACTCTATATACATATGTATGTATTTATTTATTTATTAAAAAGAGAAAAAAAAATGATTTTTTTCTGAATAAAGTTCAATATTTATCAATTCAATGATTTATTGTAAGTAATGCCTTGTTTTCCCTATGTCATTTTAAATGAAAATTATAATTGACTAGTGTGTCAAATGCGTTTTCATTACATGACAAGAATGCGAATATGACATCATATGACTACCAGTTTTCTTATACTGACAATATTTGACACTGAAAATGACATAGTGAAAACGAGACATTAGTAATTAAATATTATAAAAATTACATAAAACTAATTTTATTATATTTTGATGGATTTAAATCTTCAAGTTTTTAACTTAATGTTTAATAAATGTTTATTTTAAATTTCAACTGAAAGGAGAGCAGTGACATTTCTATAGAAAAATGACAACACATAAAAGTATGCCCAATCAAATGAAATATATGCAGGATATAACGTAAAAGCTTGCAAATCTGAAGAGTTTATTCTTTTAAAGAGCACTATTTGAAAAAAAAACGTACAACCAGTGTAAAGAACCTATGTATGAATCACATAAGTATTATAATCATTACAATTGAAGTATATAATTTTGATCAATTTTATTTAAAAGATTAGAAATTAATTTTAGAAATGTAATTTCTTGTTGCATAATTAAAAAAAAATTAACTACTTAATATTTCTAATAAAAACAAGGTAAATTTATTTTATTTAGTAAATTTTATATAATATAAATATATATTAAAATTGAATTGATATAATTTTATTAATTTAATTTTTAATATTTGCGTTTCTTTTTTTTTTATTTTAATGTAACTACTGATAGTAATAAATAAATATGTAATTATTTATGTATTATAATTGTTTCCAAATGTACTTACTTTTTAAAATTGTAAAGCTCATTTTTAATTTTGTTGTTTTTGAACAAGAAGGCACAATTTTTATATTAAATATAAACAATAAATTGTATAAAAGGCAACTGTGATTTTAAGGCTGATTAAAAATATTTAAAATCATTTATACTACTTAGCAATTCAAACGTCATACATGCATATATGCATTATTAAACGCGTGAGATCCTGGTGCACAATAGAAAACACCTGTACTCTCAACAATGTAACATGATGACAGGACAGAACAGGACAGGACGAGTGAGCACCGGACGTGATGTTAGATGCTTGATGCACGTATTAAAGAAACGCTGCAGTAGTTAGGCACTTTAGACAATCAAAACAGACAAACCGAAACTTAACAATAATTATAACAGCAATAAAAAAACGGATATATGGACAATAGATACCACATATCCGGCTGCAACGAACTTTAACAACTTGAGCAACCCGTTAAAAACGTTGCTTAAGGCTTCGACGGTGTTAAGGCACAAAAAAGTAGTTTTTTCATAAAAAATTTTTAAAATTGTTTTTCTCTTTTTTAATTTTTAATTTTTAATTTTTTTTATTTTAAAACGTCTCAAAAACATATACGTTCACATTAAGGCACAGTTCTTAAAAACTTAAAGCTGTCGTTTGTAAACTTCACAAAGTGGCGCTGACAACTTTGCAAGAAGGCACTTTAAATAAAAACTCGTGTAAAAAAAATTATAAAAACACATTAAAACCGATTTTAACCACAATTATTTTAAGTTTAACTTTATAAAATTTAATTTTATTATAAAAATAAAATCCATTTTATTCCAGGCAAATATTTTTCTTAGATGTCAATAGCTTTATAAGAAAGTAGCTGGAGCTGGAGCTGGTGTTGATGTCCTGCCCGATCTGTGGTTAGGCCTAGAATGATGTGTTCTGCACTCAACACATTGTGAGCTTCTGTCGAAAAATCAAAAGTGCGATGAGCTGACGTTGGCCGACGTTGCTGACTGTAACACCGTACCAAAGGCAGGACGAATGAAACTGTAAACACGATTGCGCATGCTCCAACTGATGCTGCGATTAGATCCTTAAGAATATGCAACCTTCATATCACACAATAATGTTAGAGTGAAATGCCGGTGGATGGCTAGGCTACCCTGCGAACAAAGTTGATCAATGTATTCCGCCGCAGTTAAGACGCGGTATGTTATGTGATTGTATTGTTACATCGTATTGGGTTGACAAAATTAATAAATTGAATTAAGGGGTAAGTTTGAATACTAACAAACTGTTCCCACTTAAAAAGACACAAAGAATTATAATAAATAAATTACAAATGTTGTATCAAGTGGCACAATAAGTATGAGTGAGATAGTTTATAAGAAAAAAAAAAAAATTGGTGTGATAGAAATGAAAGCAAACGGAGAAAAGTCGGAAAAAAATTTCTTTCAAATAAAGGACATTATATGGTATGGAAGTAATAATTTTTTTAAATAAAATATAGGCTTTCTTATGAAAGAAGAAAGAAAATCTGTTATTATAGTTTATAACTTGTTTTTCTGAGTTTTTGTTTTCAGTACATTAGTTTACAAAACAACACAGTTATATATCTAATGCTCCCCAAAACTGTTTTAGTACATTAGTATATACCATTTTTTTTCATATGTAATAGATTAAAACGATAACTTTTCTATAAGTACATCATAGAATAGAAGAAAACAGCAAACAAAAAGTCAAGGATAGCCACCAACCGTGAACTGTGGGAGGCCATTGGATGTTCAAATAATACTATTATAAAAAGGAAGAAATCGCCCACGAGAAAAAAAAAGAAACTGAATATTTTAACTAATACAAATGAGTAGTGAAAACGCTTGGCATTTTCCCTCACTTTTAAGTGCATTTGTATGCAAGGGAACTGAGAAATTACTTAAGATAAAAAATATCGGCACTGTTAGCTTTTTTAAATGATTCGATTGCTTTAACCGAAAGCATTTGCATCACGGCTTCTTAGGTTCAGTCCCCACCATGAGGTCTTCATTTTCGTTTTAGATTGTATCAAAATAATATTGTTAACATGTAATTAGCAACCCAATTTTTTAATTTTGTTACATGAAATGCCACTTTTTTTGTGTGCAGCATATATACTTTTTGATAAATGAATTTTTGGGATTGATTAGAATTCACCCTGAACTGAATTATCTAGAATTTAAAATCAAACATAGCAAAAAATAAATTCAGTAAATAACTTTTATCTTTTTTTCTAGTAAAAACCAAGTTTAACTATCATTGTTACAACTAAAAAACAAAATAATAACAATTCAAAAAATTGATATGCAATAACAGCAACAACAATAATAACAACAACAACAACAGTGTGGAAAAAAATTAAAAATATGACACAAAAAAAAAACAGCAGCCGCCATGAAATCTCAACTGGCGCGTCAAATTGGCGCCAAACATCCATTTTGTCTGTTTTATTTATTACTTGTTCAAATGTGTGTGTGTGTGTGTGTGATGTGTGCGTGCTGTTTGCATGTGTTAGTGGCTTTTATCCTTTTGAAAAGTGCAAATTGTCATAAAACTGCGTCAACTTGGAGCCCTTTCTATGATTTTATTTATTGAACTAAGAGAAGAGATAAAAGATATCATCAACCCAGCCAGTGAGCCAGAGCCAGTGAGTGTGCAAACAATATTTTTGTTCTGTGGTTTTATATGAAAATAAATGAATTACATATTCCACTTTTTATAATTCACCAATTGGAGAATGAAGCACTTATATAGGCTTTCGCGCGTTTTACATATCGTCAAAAGTATATATGTACAATCCACAAAGTATATAGTCATAGACACTCAAATATTTAATGGAAAATATAATTTTATAGTTTATAAACTGATATCGAAACATTTCAGTTAAAAAAACTAAAGAAACAAAAATATTTGCAAACTGATATTTGCCTTGGTTAGTTAACATAGTTAGTTGAGGTGGAGGGAGGACGAGTCCTCCTCAATTAGCTAAAAAAAATCCGTTTTGAATCTACAAAAACCTCGTAATAGTGGGTAGGTAGAGAGAAGGTCGAACTAGAACCAGCCAGAGGCATTTATAGATATTTGCCTTATTTTTAATTATAATTTTGCATTTAATTTAACGTTTTTCCAGTATCACAAAACCAATATTAAAGTATCTATAGTAGTAATGAGTTTGTTTCGTTATATGTCAACAAAATTTTTTAGCAATTAATTTTCCATGTCTGACAACATATAATCAATATAATCAAAAATAGGCAGAGAGATCAAACTGAAATTTGATAATATGCTGAATTTGAAATGCATAGTTGAGTTATTTGAAATTATTTTCAATCATCAAAGAGTTATCAATTAAACATAGAGTTGTCGTTGTCGTTGTAGGACAAATCTGCATTTACAGACAGTTCACCTGACGCGGTTCATCCTAACTATATGGAACTGTTCGAGATGATAGAATGGTCAAAATGGTATATTATCAAATATAAATTACCCAGAAAATTCTAGCATTCATTTGAAAAACTGAATGAATGAAGCCTTCTGTTCACAGTTAGGTTCAGCAGTTAGCAAAAATGTCTGCTGTTAGCTCAAAATACTGTCATTTTATATTCTATTCTATCCTATATTGAATTTGTTCCACCAACAAAGATTTTCGTACAATTTTGTTCATTCAACTTAATGATAGATGTATATTTCATTTTGGATTGTGTGAAATAGTTTTATTTTTTATATATTAACTTTAAGTCTAGCTTTATTAATGATAAATAAAATATTATATGAACACATTATATGATTATATGATTATTTATAATCAGGGTTGTCATCAATCAATTGCATTAAGAGTGGAAAATAGCATGGAAGCAATTTTACAAATTCTTTTTAAATGGTCTACTGATGGACAATATAAGTTATATCATTATTTTAACACACCTATGGTTAAAGTGTTCTTTACAGCAGCCAAATGGGTTCTAACAGCAGATGAATTAACGTCACGGAGCCGCTTATTTATAACGATCGTACCAATAAAGTTATTTTCCTGGTCTCTCCATGCGAGAGAAACCATACTCTGTATGTGTCTACAAGAACGATATTAATTTTATCATTCTTTTATTTAACTTAATTTTGATTTAAATAACGATATTATTCAACTACTAGCTGGTAGAAGTATCGGATTAAATAAGTACTTTAATCAACTGACAGATAGAAATTAAAATGTTTAATGATGATTGAAAATTTCTAATAACATACTATACTATTGTTATTAATAACATATAATAGGCGTAGTAAAAATAAATCCATTATTTTTGCATGAAATTGAAGGCTTATTTACCATAGTTAGAATGATATCCGAATTAGGTCAAATATGCGCCATTTTGTTCGACAACTTGTTCATAGTAGATGAATTTCTGCCAATCCCAATAAACACACAGCAAAAGCTTCCTGGCCGACAATCCTGACTTGGCTACTGGATTCATTAGCGATTCACGAATGGAAATTCGGTCCATAAGATTTTTTTGCGTCAACTCGTCAACTCGTGTGGCGAGCTTCTTTTTGAATCCAACCTTATTCAAATGGTTCCAAACGGTTTTTTTTACTCTTGTTATCTTTAGCTCTTGGGCAATCGAAACAGTGGCAGTTGATTACATGACGGTCGGACTCGACAATTTTCATGATTTTATCGACATTTTCGACAGTTGGCATTCTTCCAGTGCGTGGTGCACTTCAAACTTTGACATCAAAATTACTGGAACAGAATCGATGAAACTAAATGGTGCATAATTGGTGGTTAAAGTATCAGGACCATAAACACTATCCACATTTCCAGCCACCTGACTTGCGTTTTCGCTTTTATCAAAGAAAAATTGCAAAATATGGCGTATTTTCTCTTTGTTAGTGTTCATCTTTAATGCGCACTCAAACAAATCTTTCTAACGCCATCTAGCGAGATATAGATAACTGATACCATCTATTGGGAAAATAATGGATTTCTTTTTACTACATCTAATATATGGTATAACAAAAACATTACTACACAGTTTTTAACACCATGTGCTAAACTGAGAACTTTGCAAGCTGGCTGTTAGCATAAAAGCAAGAAGTGCAGAAAACTCAGAGATAAATCTTCGAATTAAAAAAATATCTATCTCATTTTCAATATTAACATTCGATAATATTTATTTTATACAATGAAGTCAATGAGCTAGTATTTGAAGTAAGTTCCGCATATCTCTAGATTTTATTTTAAACTGTACTTTGATTTTTCATTTTTTTGAACCAATACCTTAAATAATCGTTTTGTTTTTTTTCTTTAAATTGTAAATATAAAACTGATATATAAAGATAGAATATATATTTCATATCGAAGCATTTTCTATAAATTCAATTTATTTGTTGATTTTAATTTACTCACCTTTTCTGGAGCGTAAAATCAAAATGTGAAACTAAATCTTTTGGTTCGAAATATTGCAATAGAGTCGTTCGTTTTACTTAAGTTCGTTGTTAAGGCTCTGAAATATATAAAAAAGAAATAAAAAATATTTTTACTTATGTTACTACTAAATCGATTTGTTTTATTATTGAAAGCCAGCTTTTCACACATCATAATCGCACATGTATCAATTGCAGCATTTACTCGCAATTGCATTCTTGACAAGGCATGTAGAGGAACAACCATTCAGTGTTTTCATTTTCCATTTTAGCTATACACGATCTGTGAGAGCATTTAGATTTGTGGTCAGTGCCATCATGCCAATCGAGAGCCTGAATCTCCATCAAAACTACATGTACGTGCAGTGTATCTTTACTGCACATAACAGTACAAAGAATCAAAATAGATGCATCAGGTTTTTGTATAATTGAATTTGCTTAAAATCAATCAGCAACTGAAATAGCAGCAACTTGGAGTACAAGTTCGTATCTTATGGCTAGGCTCACAAGGAAATAACTTGTGATTTTGTTCACAACACACGCGTAACCTTAACCATAAAGAAACATCAACAGATATATGTGTCTATGTAGAAGTATACGTACTGACGTACTGACGTACTGATATACAAATACTTCTTAGTGTTTCTATTGCTTCCATATAAAGGAGCTATAGTAGAGGTAAGTAAAACAATTTCCATGCTTGCTGACTGCTTGCCGTAAACAGAACCAGCCCGAAGAGTTGTACTCGTTATCAGCAAGGCACAACCGCCAAAGCTGATGAAACAACTGTATCTTAAATGGACTAAGAATGTGCAAACATATACATTATTATTCAATACCATAAAGCACCGCAGTAGCAGCAGCAGGCCAAAATGCATACCTTCATGCCTATTCGTTATAGTATCTATTCAGATTAGTATAACACATAAATAATAGGCGAGCGCATACCTTACATACAAATAAGTGAAGAAAAGCACAGGTGCTGAGTTCGTTCATACCATTTAAGCGGCAAGACAAAGGCTAGCAGTTTAATAGACAGACATACTGCGGCGACTATGGATGGCGTAAAATGCATTACAAAACTACAACTACACCTCATATTCTAAATATTTTTCATATGAGCTACATTTGATCTTAATTTTTTTTTACCATTTTTCTAATTTTAAACGTAAACAATATGTCAAATCGCACACGTTACACATTATACGGCATGATCGATTGTAGCTGAGTGTAGGTGGCATTTACATTCTGCTCGAAATATGAGCAATACTTAAATTCATGGTATCGAACATGGAATTGAAAAAAATATGTTTGCATGAAGTCTTAATTATATATATAGAAAAATTCTTTAAAAATAATTGCAATGCTTATAATATGAATATGTTTCATACATCAAATATTTCAATCATTTTATAAAAGCCTTATTATACATTTAGAATTTAAATCCAAGACTATAATTATACTTATTGTTTTTTTTAATTCTGGTAACTGTTACATTTTTGCTATTTTATTTTCCTTCACTAATTTTTCAAAGTTTCTTTAACTTTTTTAGTGCTGTTACCTGCAAGACGAGCTTTGTTTTGAGCTTAGATTTGGTGCTTTCGTGCACAAGGCTCCTTTACAATCTCGGGTGATTACACTTATAAAAAAAGCTGCTGACGTCTCTATATCGCACCCAAGACGATATTATATTATGAAAATATTATCCAATTTAAATTCAATATTCTTGTAATATGAGCAAGATTAATATCTAAGCTTGTAATTACTAATATCTTTAATATTTTCATTATTTTTTTAAAAAAGGATTAATTTCATTCATAGACTAGGTCTTTACTCACTTTCTATTCTTAAAAATTTATTGATTTCACAGTTTCTTACATACCCTAACTATTTTAAAAATTTTTCCAAAGAAATATATTGATGTGTTTAAATATCTGTAATGGTGGAACTCACTGTTTTACTGAATAGTATGCAACTACAGAAAAAACTCAGTATTATCTCTATTTCTCTGTCTTAATAATTTGTTTTTAATACATAATTTTCATGACATTGTCTATCACAGCACAACAACAGTTAAATATATACTAAACAAATAGAACAATTTCTCTACAGATATAAAAATATTAACTAATTTTTTTTATTTTATAACAAAATCTTTTCATATAATTGCATATCTATAACATTGAAATAAAATTACAACAAATAAGTTAATTCACATCAATATAAATATTTTTACACTGGGGTAATTGTTTTAATATTGCTCATTGCCGTATGATCGCATCACACAGGCTATCATAAGCCAGTTTATTATAATTTGAATGAAATAATAAACATATGAGATAATTTCAAAATAAAATAAAAAATATATCTAAAAAGTTATTTGAAAAAAATTCAATGGCAAAATAAATTTTACTCGCACTTTGCATATAAAACACCTCAATCTTGTGGTAAATACATCGTGAGGAAGTAAAGGGGGCACTGAATGGCCTGATGATTAAGTTTGCCAAAAAGTCAAACAGTGGTTCGAGTGAGGGCGCTAAAAGTACTACGAAACTAAGCAAAATTTCTAAAAATTGATCAATGAATCATCGCCAGACTACATCAAAATTAAAGACATCAGCGCAGCGCCATCAATTCACAATTACACAGAGGAAATCGCATATCACCACACAACCTAAAATTTAACAATTTCTACGGAGGCACGAAGCAATACAAAAACATCTGACGGCGTATACGTTTCTAAAAAGGTATTATTGCTGCCGATAATGATGATTAAGAAAATTACATATATGATAATGACGATAATGATGATAATGAACAAACTTAAGACACACTTCTATAAAATATGGTAGCTATGTGTTCTGCTGTGGTTTACTCGTATCTTACGTATATTACATTTTTATGTTTTGTTTCTATTTCTATCTAATCCAATATCAAAGAATTACATGGAAGAAAGCATTTCTATTTTTCTTCTATAAAACTTGGACTATTTTCGAAATTTTATTATTTTATTTTTACTTCTCTTATTTTTTTTATATAAGTAGATGGAAATATCTACAAAAAAATCAAGAAAATCTAGATACAGGCAAGTTAGAGAATTATGTTTTGTTTACCTTGGAACTTATTTATAAATTTTTTAATTTTTTAGGTTGTTCATTTTCTAATTTGATTAAAAAAATAGAGGAAAAATGATTTTGGATCTAAATGATGTTTATTTTTTATTTTTATTTATTTCAATTTTGTGTGATTTTATGTATGTCAACATTTAAAATGAATTAAAATAAAATTTCAAGAAATCTTATTAATGTGATTTATCGTCATCTGTACAAGAAAAATAAAAAAAAAAAACGTATGCAGGAAACAAGAAAAAAATTTAAATATTAAAAAAATACTGTAACAAAAATTTAAAACTAATTTCATAATAAACAATAATGAAATGGAGGGACGTGTAAACAGTTTTAACAAAATTGTTATGGTATACTTTGTTAGTTATACTGCAAAACACGAGTAACTATATAAATACTTCAGATAACAATTTTTTAAAGTACTTCATGAACATAATTCTTAGAAATTTTAAGAGATTTTAACACTAAAAAAATTTCAGCTCGTGTATCATAACATTTTAAAATGACCCTGTAGAGGTCAAAAGACTGACCAGTTTATGTACTGACCAGAGCTACCGACGAGTTTTTAATAATCAGAATTAATTTTTAATGTTGACGAAATCAGCTTAACTAGAATGGTTCTCTGAAATTTTACTCTATATGAGACAACTTTTAACATAACAAGATTTTATGAGAATGAAAACGCTGTCATATACGTATTTGTTTTAGAAAAACACCAAACGATGTATAATATCAATATTACTATGATAAGATAATATCGATTTTGTAGGTAACAGAATTCTCAAATTTAATTGAAAAACTTATTTCTCTCATTTTAAACCCATAATCGAATCGAATACACAATTATCAAATTGGTTTCCAAAGCAAGAAACTCAGCACTAGGATAGGTCCACATAATATCATATGTAATTTGCGAGCTGACAACGAAAGATCGATGCTCTGCAGCCTTTTAAGATGTTGCACAAGAAGTAAATGGGTTGGCAGGAACCAACATACTTAATATTAATGTAATTTAATGCTTTCATATAAGGCTTTGATATAATAATAATTGATTTGCAGTTTTAGTCCTACTATAATTAGGTTTGGATTTTTTTTTTTTGTTTGTCGATGTAAACAACTTAGTTAATAAATGTGTATCACAGCTTTATAATTGTATTGCTCTGAGGTCTCACATACGTAACATATATAACTTTATTTTAAAGTACTGAAAGACAAAATTCATTTATATTCATTAAAAAACGAATATTTTTAATATTTAAAATAAAATCTAAAAAATTTCTTATTTAAAAAATTATTAAAAATATATAATTTTAATCTATAAAATTAAATAGTACAATTCCTTATTCTACTACGTCAATTAATTTTATGATACTGTAATATATCTTATATTTTGTACTAACATTATATTCAAAAGTTTATATATATAGGTTTATATATAATTGTACAATATATTCGTATATACATAAAATATATATACATGATATATACAAAATATATATACATAATTTAATAATTTTATCAAAATCATCATAATGATAAACAACCTAAGCTTAACTAAAAAGATAAACAACGTATTCAACGCTCAATAAAAAAAATCTATAACAATAGTAAAAGTATCTTTTCAATTAAATATGCACTTCAAATTGAGGTGGTTTGAGTGGGAGTTACTTTGTATTAGGAACTGAATGCCGAATAGCTAATGCATAGCTTTGTGTATTAAAAGGCGTTGAACAAACCTACTCATAATGTGGCAAATTATGTTAAGATAAACATCAGCAGGCGGTGGAAACCGCTGCAATGATATAAGATACTGTGGAAGGGGTGGTAGCATTGTCAATGCTTGCAAATGTCAGTAAATTAACCCTTCAAAGAATCACTGCCATAGCTAACGTTCCACTCGCTGTTGCTTTGATAAATTCAAAGCTTTGATTGATTTGTGTCATTGAGTGATTTTA